TATATACATATATACATTTACATATACACATTTACATATACATATACACATTTACATATACATATACATATACATACATATACATATACATACATATACATACATATACATATACATACATATACATACATATACATACATATACATATACATACATATACATACATATACATACATATACATACATATACATACATATACATACATATACATACATATACATACATATACATACATATACATACATATACATACATATACATACATATACATATATATACATATATATATATATATATATATATATATATATATATATATATATATATATATATATATATATATATATATATAAAAATATATATAGATATACATACATACATATATATATATATATATATATATATATATATATATATATATATATATATATATATATATATATATATATATGAAATGGCTATATTCTTCTCAACATATTCTCAGGATACAATGCAGATCTTGTGTGTTTACAAGAACTGGATGAACGACTGTTTCTCAGGGATCTGCAGCCTACTTTGGAAAGGGAAGGTCTTGAAGGATACTATGATGCAAAAGGAGGACAAGTCACAGAAGGATGTGGAATATTTTTCCAAAAGCAGAAGTTAAGGTGGATACAGCATATGATAATTCATACATGGTGTAAGCTACATACTGCATATGCATTATATATTGTGTTTATGCTTGAATTTCTTCATAACAGTGATCTTTTCATATATATTACATTGCATCTTGCATCTTCCAGGATGGTAGATCATACCCGCATCATTTTAAGTGATGAACTGCAGTCCAACCCATTGTTTGAAGATTGGTGGGAGAAAATAAGCTCCAATGTAAAGCTTGTTGAAAGAGTGGTACAAAGAACCACTACCTTACAGGTTAGAAGACTTTGGCAATTGTTTTCTGTGTTTTCCTAGAGATGATAACTAAGTCTAATTTGTATTTGAATTAGACTATTGTTAGAATTATGATGCTTTATTTAGCATTGGTAATTTTGCAATATTTTTATAATCATAGGATAAGCACACACATAATTTTTCCTTTCTTCTCTTTTTTTTTTTTAACCATTGTACCAGATAAGTGTCCTGGAGAGCATTGAGAATCCATCAAAGCAAATAGTTGTTGGAGTGACACACCTCTATTTCTATCCTGAAGCAGACAATATACGACTTCTGCAGGCAGGAATCTCCATGCGACTCCTTCAGCAGGTCATGAGTCTGTGTAAGACAAAGGTAAGGCTAATATGTAATATGTAAGATTCTCATCCAGGTTCTTTAGGATTTCCAAATTTCTGTTAGAGGAATGGCAAATAAGAAGAATGCAGCATAACCTTTATCACAACCCATTGACAATGGGTGACATTTTATTATAGCAAATAATCACAGTCATCAGATAATGCTTTATCATGTCATGAGTTCTTGTCCTGATCACCATTATAAGGTCTTACATGAGCTGCCATTAGCCAGATAATGACCCAGGTGTGGACAGTGCTTTTCATATCTATTATTTCATAATTCATAAAGGACTAAGAGTTTATTCTTGAACTTTCATTTTCATAACAGAAAAGTATTCTGGAACTTTCATTTTTCTAACAGAAGGACTGCAATGCATGAGGGCATATAAACACATGTAATCACACACTGAAAAATGTAAATGCATGGAAAAGTTTTAAAAATGGTAGTGTAAGTTTTGCAATAATTAAGAATTGTTTATTACAAACAGTTTGAAATGTAATGGATGGCAAAATACACTACAAAGATATTCTGTTGATTTGTTGCTACAGATTCATTATAAGATGAATATACATTTTTTTTTTCTTTCTTGAGCATTACATGCTTAGCATGTATTTCCTGTATTTCATGGAGAAAAATTGAATCTGGAACTTCTAATTTTCCTTTGAATAATGCACTAGCTGATGGCTATATTTCTGAACTGTGCAATTAATGGGTTAAAAGGCTTTGTATGTTCTAATATTTGTGAGTTTTGGTTTATAATCAGTGTTTAGTTTTATGCCTCTTTAACCCATTGCCACCGGGGAAAACTAACAAAAAATGGGGAAAATGCTGTGCCTATTTTCTATATTTTTTTGTGAAATGTCTGCCCGTAGATGGCTCTGTTAGTACCTGATTTGAATTGGGGGGAAAAACGTATTTTTCACTAGTGCCATGATTATTGATGGTGTTATTTTTATTATAAACATTATAATTATTATAATGTTTTTAACATTAGTAACAGCAAAATAAGATAATGTAAAATATTTCGTAAATCAAAGAAAAGGGTAAATGGGCGAGACAGGCCGTACTCATAACTGGCTCATTGGTGATTTAGTACAAGTGTAGCCATCTATGTGTGAAAACAATCCAACAAGTAATCTCACAGTGGCCATGGCATGGCATGCCCGGCGGGAATGGGTTATATCTCTTTTTTTTTTTAAGTATCTCCTATTAGGCTAGTTGAAAAAAAGGTTTTAATAGGATATTTTCATTTGACAAGTCTAGTGATATCTACCAAAAAAATCTTAGATTTGTTTGTATATATATATATATATATATATATATATATATATATATATATATATATATATATATATATATATATATATATATATATATATATATATATATATATATATATATATATATATATATATATATATATATATATATATATATATATATATATATATATATATATATATATATATATATATATATATATATATATATATATATATATATATATATATATATATATATATATATATATATATATATATATATATATATATATATATATATATATATATATATATATATATATATATATATATATATATATATATATATATATATATATATATATATATATATATATATATATATATATATATATATATATATATATATATATATATATATATATATATATATATATATATATATATATATATATATATATATATATATATATATATATATATATATATATATATATATATATATATATATATATATATATATATATATATATATATATATATATATATATATATATATATATATATATATATATATATATATATATATATATATATATATATATATATATATATATATATATATATATATATATATATATATATATATATATATATATATATATATATATATATATATATATATATATATATATATATATATATATATATATATATATATATATATATATATATATATATATATATATATATATATATATATATATATATATATATATATATATATATATATATATATATATATATATATATATATATATATATATATATATATATATATATATATATATATATATATATATATATATATATATATATATATATATATATATATATATATATATATATATATATATATATATATATATATATATATATATATATATATATATATATATATATATATATATATATATATATATATATATATATATATATATATATATATATATATATATATATATATATATATATATATATATATATATATATATATATATATATATATATATATATATATATATATATATATATATATATATATATATATATATATATATATATATATATATATATATATATATATATATATATATATATATATATATATATATATATATATATATATATATATATATATATATATATATATATATATATATATATATATATATATATATATATATATATATATATATATATATATATATATATATATATATATATATATATATATATATATATATATATATATATATATATATATATATATATATATATATATATATATATATATATATATATATATATATATATATATATATATATATATATATATATATATATATATATATATATATATATATATATATATATATATATATATATATATATATATATATATATATATATATATATATATATATATATATATATATATATATATATATATATATATATATATATATATATATATATATATATATATATATATATATATATATATATATATATATATATATATATATATATATATATATATATATATATATATATATATATATATATATATATATATATATATATATATATATATATATATATATATATATATATATATATATATATATATATATATATATATATATATATATATATATATATATATATATATATATATATATATATATATATATATATATATATATATATATATATATATATATATATATATATATATATATATATATATATATATATATATATATATATATATATATATATATATATATATATATATATATATATATATATATATATATATATATATATATATATATATATATATATATATATATATATATATATATATATATATATATATATATATATATATATATATATATATATATATATATATATATATATATATATATATATATATATATATATATATATATATATATATATATATATATATATATATATATATATATCTATCATATGTGATCAAATTTAAATAATGATAATACATTTTACAGCATCCAGAAAAGGATATTTCCCTGCTCTTTTGTGGGGACTTCAATAGTACTCCAGAGTTTGGAGTTTACCGGTTCATGAAGACCCAGTTCATAGATGTTGATGATCCTGATTGGAGTAGCAGTAAGTTTACCTTTTGATTCTTATTGATCTTTTATTTGCACGTGGTAGATGATTATTTTGGCGAGTCATCAGTAAGAGTGGAGAAAAATATTTGCACAAATCTGTTACAAGTTTTACACATCAGATTTATGATAAATTTGCTGATGTCATTCCCCTAATGGTGAGATCTGTCTTAGATGAAGGCCTCTCAAAACAACTTACTAAAAATATAATATAAAAGGAAGTTTGCCTTTTGCTTCAGTTATACTAATTTAAGTGTTATGGACAGTTGAAACAGAATTATCATGCCAAGTCTAGCCTAATCCCTTGCTCCTTGTTGTCATGGGGGCTTAGGAGACGGACTCAACTAATTTTGCATGGTCTTTTTTTTCTCCCCCTTTCCTCTCCTTCTCTTCTTCATCATCTCCTTCTTCTGCCCACTTCCTGAGGTGTGATAGGCACGCTGAAAGGATGAAAGGTTGGCTTTGTGTCAGTCATGAAAAGCCTCCAGGAGCCATGGGCATGTTTTACCCTTATTAGGGGCCATAAGGGGGGCAACTACCACTAAATTTTGACAAATATCTGAAATTTCATAAATTCGTTTTTTTCACTCACTGTGGCGAGGATACCTCAAATTATCAGCTGGTGATTTTTTTTTTCCATAAAATCAAATCCCCTCCCATGTGGAAGCCATTTTTATATGCACTGTGCTGTTGTGTCATAGCATGAGCCATCCGGCAACATGTGCTGTATCATTCCTTGCTTGTAAGTACATAAAATATACATTAGAAATGTTTTTTTGTCTGTAAATGTTGTCATTCATTATCCCTCTGTCGCCTAGAGACAACAAAGCAGGCAGAGCAAATAGACACCAGAGCTTGCCCAGACAGCAGGGGGGAAAGAGTGCTTTACTTTTCTCTTTGCCTCAGCCAGTACAAGCATACTTTGAGATGACACAAGTCAACCACCAAGAGATCCCTGAATGTCAAGAAACTTTTGTCACCGTGTCACTCTCATCTGCAAGCACCAACATGGTCTTGTAAGAGCAACTTGACAGTGATGAAGTCTGACATGAGTAACCTTTGTTAAGTCAGCAAGTTTCACACTATCATATGGAAAAATTTCATGCTAATCAGATAAATACAAATGACAAGACAGGGATGAAATGAAAAAAAAACCTAAGGAGCCAGTATCTTGAAAAGTGGTTTTTACACTTCAAAAAATATCACAAAATTGGTAAAAAGTCTGAACTACTCTTGTTAGGTTTCATTATAAACTACAACTAAAAGACATTTTTTTGTATTTAGAAAATTTCAACTGAAAACAGGTCACAGAGTGGAGAAAATTGAATGTTGTCAGAAATGTTGGTGTTTTGGCCACCCAGCCAAAAACTGTCACTCTATAGCCCATTGCCCTCTATTTGCCCAACCTGGTCATGACCATTCAAATTGCTCTGCTCAGTCATGTGCGAATTGTGGTGGCTCCCATAATGTGTTTTATAGAACCTGCCCTTCCTACAGACAAGAAGCATGCTAAAGAGGTTTTTCTCTTTCTACCTGTTTGAAAACTGTACTTTGCTCCACACCCCTCCCATCTTCTTAAGAAGTCTCAGCATCTCTCCCAGTATCTCTTCCATCTACCCTGAACCTACCTATCTCTACTACCTCTCTCCCACAGTCAAATTCCTTTTCCAGTCTAAATCCAGATACTCCAATCTCTACCACTTCCCCGGTGCCTACCCCTCACCCTCCTTCTCACTCTACCTGTTGCATCAGACATCGTAAATGTTCCACTGCATCTCCTACCACATCCTCTCCTATACCCACCTCTTCCTCTGCTCCTCAGACATCTATTCCCTCTTCTCCACCACATAAGACAACCTTTGTTTCTCAGACCTCCCCACCCAACTCCCCTCCAGAACTTTTGAAGACATCCTAAAGTTCATAAACATGATTCAGGAGAATACTCCACTCCCTCATCCATCCTCTAATCCCTTTAGTTGCTCTACATTCAAAGTATCTGCAGATATCCATCCTCCTCCTCCTCAAGTTCCCCCCTACCCTTCTTCCTCCCACTCACCCAAAAAACAGCCCATCCTCTTCTCCATGTGCATCACCATCCCTCTTCTTTCCCCATTATCCTTACCACCACCACTTAGATGCTCATCTGATTCCCTTATGTCAAAACAATGTCCTTCTGTGGATCCCTCCCTTCCTGACACTTTCTGATACTTCACTTCCATTCCCTATTCCCTTATTTCATTCTCAGGATTCTTCTCCTACTTCCACAGCTATCATTTCTTACTGTATTACCATTTGATTGGTTCATAATAGCTCTTTTGCAGTTTTCCCATACGGTGTTACTCTCCCTTCCTCAGACACATACTCTCCATTTGATCTGATCACCCTATACCTTTAACCACATCCTTTTACTTGCCTTTTTTTCCAATACACTAACTGTTGGCAAAGAAATAGATTAATGTAATGCCACTGGCTGGCTAAAACATGTGTGTAGTGGCATGTGCCATGTTCAGGTAACCTTGTTTCCTTGCCATTTATACACTAATAAAGTTATGATATCTAAAATTGATGCAGACTTGTGTGATAAAGTATGGCATTAATGTTATTTTTGGCCTAATATCTTGCAAAAGCATTTGCTCACCGCAATGCAAAGTCTACATAGTAGAAGGGCTAGAAGTTATGATTTAGATAATGGTGGCATGACATACAAGCCTCTAGCAAGATGGCCATTCTCAGCATGGCATCACATGCATTCCATCCAGAGGCAAATGTTAATCTGAAATTCAAAGTTGTGATACTTTGTATATATATCTTTTTAACCCATTCGCGCCAGGTGTCATGTATATGTGACATGCCCACTGTGAGTTTACTTATTTAATTGTTTTTACACATATATGGCTATACTTGTACTTGTACTGCCTGTCTCACCTGTTTACCCTTTTCTTTAATTTACGAAAATATTTTGCGTTATCTTATTTTGCTGTTACTAATGTTTATAACATTATAGTAATTATAATGTTTATAATAAAAATAACCATAGATAGTCGTAGCACTAGTAAAAATACATTTCCCGCCAATTCAAGTAAAGATGAAATCAGGTAAATCAGAGCCATCTATGTGTAGAGACATTTCACAAAAAAATATAAAAAATGAGCACATCATTTTCCCCATTTTTTTGTTAATTTTTACCCTTCACGAATGGGTTAAAGAGAGAAATTAAATAATTGTGATTTATAAATTTAAAGTCTTTGTTGCTTCGTTTGCTTCTATAAATTACTCATGAAAATATATATATATATATATATATATATATATATATATATATATATATATATATATATATATAAAAATAAACACATACATACATACATACATAATATAAACACATACATACATACATACATACATACATACATACATATATGCATATATGCATATATGCATATATGCATACATGCATACATGCATACATGCATACATGCATATATGCATATATGCATATATACATATATACATATATACATATATACATATATACGAATATACATATATACATATATATATATATATGTATATATGTATGTATATATATATATATATATATATATATATATATATATATATATATATATACACACACACACACACACACACACACACACACACACACACACACACACACACACACACACACACACACACACACACACACACTGTATTTCCACCCTAGTATACTGTACAGAAGCAAAGAAGTATTTAACAAAAAATGGGGGAAATGCAGTACTCATTTTTTATATTTTTGTGAAATTTCTCTGTCCATAGATGGCTCTACTAGTCCTGATTTCACCTTTCCTTGAATTGGCGGAAAAAAACGTATTCTTTCTAGTGCTATAAATATAGATGGTGTTATTTTTAACAGCAAATTAGAATAACATTAAATATTTTCGTAAATCGATGAAAAGGGTGAACAGGCGAGACAGGCAGTACTCGTAGTTAGCTCATTGGACACTTAGTACAAGTGTAGCCATCTATGTGTAAAAACAATCGAACAAGTCGACTCACAGTGGGCATGGCATGTACGTACATGCTATCCCCGGTGGCAATGGGTTAAACAAGCAGAATGAATGAAGATATAATGACTAGTTCCCTCTCCCGACCCATTTCTTGTAATAAAAGTGGCTTTAGGATTACTTGCTATCTTTGATTCGACATAAGAGGATGAGTGGAATTCATTGTAACCTCACATTTCAGGTTATCCAGACTGTAAAATTAGCAGTGATTGTATCTGGGTCGGTTAATGTTAACCCTTTGCCGACAGCCATGTACGCACATGCCATGCCCATTGTGAGTTTACTTGTTTAATTGTTTTAACGCATAGATGGCTACAATTGTACTCAGTCACCAATGAGCCAGATATGAGTACGGCCTGTCTTGACCTTTCACCCGTTTCATTGATTTACGAAAATATTTAACATTATCTTATTTTGCTGTTACAAATGTTTATAACATTATAGTAATTATAATGTTTATAATAAAAATAACATCATATATATTTATAGCACAAGTAAAAATACGTTTTTTGCACCAATTCAAGAAAAGGTAAAATCCTTTATGGCTAAGCACTAGCAGAGCCATCTAGTAACAGAGACAATTCATGAAAATATAAAAAATGAGCACAACATTTTCCCCATTTTTTATTAATTTTCCGTTGGCAATGGGTTAAGATGGAGCCTGTTCACATTTAGCAATTTTTCTTAAGGCTGTATTTTTTCCCATTTCCCCTGAAATAGTTGATATTGTAAGTGATCTAGTAAAGTCAAGATGTATTGCTGTTGCTAAGTAAGTCATGCTATCAGTTTGTATTCACACTGGTTTAGTTCAGGAAATTTTGTTTTCATTGAAAAAGAACCCAATTTTCAATATGGAAACCTACAATCAGATTCTTATCAATGTGAATAAAAAATGGGGAAAATGTTGTACTCATTTTTTATATCTTTGTGAAATATCTCTACATAGTTGGCTCTGCTAGTCCTGATTTCACCTTTTCTTGAATTGGCGGGAAAAAACGTATTCTTATTAGTGCTATAAATATAGATAGTGTTATTTTTAACAGCAAATTAGGATACCATTAAATATTTTCGTAAATTGATGAAAAGGGTGAACGGCCGAGACAGGCAGTACTCGTTATTGGCTCACTGGTGACTTAGTGTAGCCATCTATGTGTAAAAACAATCAAACAAGT